AGGATCCAAGCTGGCTTACAGTATTAAAAGTTAAAAGTTAAAATAATGTTATTACAATGAAAAAGAATTAAACAGGTATCATACAAAAACTTGTTAAATAAGAGCAATATTTAAAGCACAAGTAAAACAACAGAATATAGTAATCCCTTTTTAAAAATCCCCTTCATCAACCAGTCATTTAATGGAAAGCCTGTCTGAAGTGAAAGGTTTTAATCTCCTTGTGTAAAGACAGCAAAGATGGGACTAACTTGGCCTCCCATGGAAGGGAGTTCCAGAGTCTGAGAGCAGCAACAGAGAAGGCCTTCTCCCATGTCCCCACCAAAGATGACTGTGACGGTGGAAGGATGGAGAGAAAGGCTTCTCCTGATTATCTGAATACGTGGGTAGTGAGATACAGTCTTTTAGATAGCTTGAACCCAAGCTATTTACGGCTTTATTCGTTAAAACAAGCACTTTGAATTGTGCCTGGAGATGGATTGGTAGCCAGTGGAGCTACTGTATTGCTTGGAAAAAGATATGAACTATTAGAACATTGAGATCTGTGTCAATAAGGATAAATAACTTTAACAATTTGCTTATTTAAAATATTTCTGTCCTGTCTTTCTCCCTCCAGTGAAACTTATATAGATGATAATTGTACTAAGATGTGTCTGAAAGGGTGCCAGAAAATAGGCACTTATTTTCATATATGTTTGAAATGTGATTTTATATATATATATGTATATATATAATTTTGTCAACAAGTTTTTTGAAAAAATAATAAAATTTTATTTTTTAAAAAATATTTTTTCCTGCCTTTATCCTTTAAAAGACACCAAGGTGGCAATTTAAATTTAGCTGTATGTCATAAAATAGCACTTTTATCAATATTTGAAAAGGAGATAGAGAAGTGGATGATGAGAGAACTAGTTTCTAATCTGTGAACATTGGCAAGATTGATTATTGCTGGAAACTGGAAATCAACACACAATATACTTTTAGGTGATAGATGTAGAGAAATCTGGGATATCTCAATAATAAACTTACATTAAACTTAAAGATTAAGAAAGGAATAAGTAGGTATATGGGGGAAATTTATTTCTTTTTGTATTTATAAAGAAGAAGGGACAAAGTTTAACACGTGAGCCTGTGCAATTTTGGAAGGGGAAAGGAGCCCAGAAGGGTAAATGGTTTAAGCAGTTACAGTATTCCCTAATGATCCCAGTAGCGGGGTTTGCTGTATATGTAGCTTGGTGGGTTTTGTTTTTTGTTTTTTAAAGTTTTTGTTTGTTAGATGTTTTAATGTTTATCAGTTGTTGTAGTTAATAATTTTTTTAAAAGAGAGAAACACAAACTTCCGTTGGGAGTGTAGCACTAGAAATTCACTTCTTTGGAACCAAATCAACAATTATCATCCTGCAACAAGAACAACTTTTTATCATTCTCTTAATGTCCAGTTCGTAATGTTGGCACTAACAACAACAAATATTTTTCTTGCTTTCCCTCCTGCTATCTCTTTCTAAAGCTGTATGCCTAGTCTTAAAAAACAATCAAAACAGAATACGTGGAAGCGAATGTTTCTAAAAGATTCTATCAGCATATGTTATATTTTTGAAGTAAACATCCTCCAGGTAATATTTTGACCTGCATACCAAATATCTTATTACACAGACATAACTTAATTACTGATAAATTGCTTGAGATGTAATGACAGGACCATCTGCTCCCAATTTTTATATTTTAATAAATAAGGCAAGAATTTCTGAGACCTAAAAAAGTCAGAAATACACAAGCACTTATGTAGTTTAAATATGGCCAAAAATGAGACTTTTTAGCACCCAATTTTAGTATGTGCATATAGACACAGATAAAAATTAAAAGGTTTGTTCTTTGATTCCATTGCAGAAGTGCTAGTATTGAAGGATTCAAAAGAATATTTTGGTCATACGTGGATTAATTTTTCTCAACAGCAGAATTGCATTGGATGATAATGTGCCTCTTGATATTATCAAATTCAAAGCTCCTTCTGTCTCTCGATATGTTCTTGTACCTTGACAAACTCTGCTTGACATTACAAGAGGTTATAGGAACAAATTTGAAAAAAGCCAACTCATCTGGAAAAAATTCTGGCTTGAAGTCATCAAATTTTGCTTCAAGTCCATTTAGAATGTATTCGCGAAGGCTTTCACGGCCTGGATCTAATGGTTGTTGTGGGTTTTTTGGGCTCTTTGGCTGTGTTCTGAAGGTTGTTCTTCCTAACGTTTCACCAGTCTCTGTGGCCGGCATCTTCAGAGGACAGCAAATTTGTTGGAGCACAATTTGCTGTCCTCTGAAGATGCCGGCCACAGAGACTGGCGAAACGTTAGGAAGAACAACCTTCAGAACATGGCCAAAGAGCCCGAAAAACCCACAACATCAATTTAGAATGTTACTTCTTTTGCAAAGCATAGAATATCCCAGATTAGGTTGTAGCACTCTTTCCAGTTTATCACTAATCTTTCACAGTCTTGATGAAGGAAGAGTCACAATAGTCAGATTCTTTAACCATCCGCAGCCAGTAATCATAATTTGTAGAAAAATACATAGCCGCATCCATCCAAGTGCCCCAAATGTCATGACAGGTTGAGGAGGGAGAGCCAAAGTAGGAGCAATTGCTTTGAACTTTTGTACTTGAAATGAAGCTCTTATCTACATCAGGATAGTTACTTTGAATCTCTTCAGCCACTGTGTATAGACCATGTGCAAGGCATGTGATATGGATTATTTTTGAATAAAGAAGTTTAAGTCCCAGGGCACCCCCAGAAGACGGGAATGGTAAACAACAACTGAGTATTCTCCACCTGGAAAACCCTGAAAAGGGTCACTATAAGTCAGGATTGACTTGATGGCACATGATATTATATAGTATAGTGGCAGGACATAGATTTGTAAGCAGAAGATCTCAGTTTAAAAAATCAGCTTGATATAAAAGGTCCAGGAGAGCTATCCCTGTTCAGTGATGAGGATTCTTACATTTGAGGGACAGGTAGCTTTGACCAGGTGTAGGGCAGTTTCCAGTGAGTGATCCACCAAGCCAAACTGCATGGACTAACAATATAATGTGAGCTGCTGGATACTTGACAACACCCATTCCTTCTTTTGCTCTCCTGGAAGGAGCTTCATACCACTTCTTGTCATTATGTGATCATGGTTTTGTTTTTGTTTTGTTTTTGCCCAATACTGAATTTAAATAATAAACTGCCTTGGAACCCTCAGCCTCTTAACGTGTGGATGCATAGCTTGTTGATGCAACGAAACACTCTGTCAGCGTTATTGAGGTGACTGAGTGTCTTAGTGAGGTTTTGAAAGTTGCCCATTCCTGTGCTGTATCATAATTGGCTTCTATCTTTATTTCTAGTCCTCTGGACAAACCAAAGTGTCCTGCTCTCTACTTACTTACTTACTTACTTACTTACTTACTTACTTACTTACTTACTTACTTACTTACTTACTTACTTACTTACTTACTTACTTACTTACTACTTACTTACTTACTTACTTACTTACTTACTTACTTACTTACTTACTTACTTACTTACTTGTTGAATTTCTATCCCATCCATCTAGTGGCAGCTGACCAGCTTACGACAAAATTTGAACAAGATGAAAACAACAAAAGAAAGCCCCCATCCCTATAGCCCACCCATATAAACAGACAAATGTATACAGATCCCAAGATGACGATGAGAATAACATAAATCATACAATTAAAGAGTTAAATAATAATTAAATAAAAAGATTCTCAAAAGTCTGGCTGAAGAGCAATGTTTATTGCCCATTTAAACATTAGTAGGGTGGGAGTCTAGCCACCTCCATCAGTAATGTATTCCATAGAGAGGTGGCCATCGCTGGGAATCCTTGTGGAACTCCACATGGTAGGACTCATTGAGACAAAACAGCATAAATTGAACCATCTGACATTGGTCCTTAAGAAAGAATTGAAGCCAACATAATGCTTTACCCCAGATCACCAAATTTGACAGCTAGTCCAGGAGGATGCTGTAGTCAATGGTACTAAAAGCCACTGAGAGATCCAGGAGAACCAACAGCGTCACACTCTCCCTGTCAGCCTCTCATAACAGGTAATCAGGCAGGATGACCAGAATTGTCCTTATCCCATGGCATGGTCTGAACTCCAATTGAAATGGATCAAAACTATGTCTTCCAAGAATGCTTGCAATTTGTCAGCCACGGTATACTGGCAACAGGGTGATAGTTATTTAAATTGTCTGTCAGCAAACTGGCCTTTTTAAGGAGGGCCAGATAATTGTCTCCTTCAGGCAGGAGGACATATATCTGCCCTACAGGGAGGAGTTTATGATCTAAGTGGCCCATTCAACCGTCACCTCCTTGGCTGTTTTAAAAAGCCAGGAAGAGCATGGGTCTGAGTGGGAGGTGGTGGCCTTATCTATCTATCTATCTATCTATCTATCTATCTATCTATCTATCTATCTATCTATCTATCTATCTATCTATCTATATCTATCTATCTATCTATCTATCTATCTATCTATCTATCTATCTATCTATCTATTTATTTATTTATTTATTTTATTGGATTTCTACCCCACCCATCTAGACCAAAAGTCTACTCTGAGCGGCACCAAAGGTCTACTCTGGGTGGCTTAGAACCTGCAAGTGCCTTGTCTATGTCATTAGGCTTCACAGGCTGAAATCGACCACTATAACTGGCCAAGACAGGATGTTGGACATCTTGAAATGACTTATTACCTTACTAATGGAGTCAAGATGGCCTCAGTCTTAGCATGGAAATGGGCTGCAAACCATTCACATGTAGAAACAACTGGTTAAGGGCCCCAGAAGACATGCAGCTTCTGTGAGGTCTTGGAACACCCTATAAAGTTCTGCCTGATGGTTAGCTGCCTCACTAATGAGCCTGATGTTGTGTTATGAAGACCCCTGAGTTTTGAATGTGATTTGTTCCTATTCTTGACTTGCATTCCTTTTTCTGTCCCAATCAGAGAGCCACGGGAGTTTGAAGAAGATTCAATGTGCTTCCCATGCCATCCAGAATGCCTGGTGCAAAATTCAACTGAATTTGGTCCAACATGCAAAGGACCAGTAAGTGTACATGATTATGAAAACTTACTTCAGTGCTCCAGTGTACAGATATCCCAGTCAAAAACTAATATGTGTTACAATGCTCAGAGGGCAACAGAGCAAGTACTTGTCAAGGAAGAATTGATATGGCTAGGGGCAAAATACTCCCAGCAAAGTCCAGAGTATCCTCTTTGTTCTATTTGGGGGGTACACACATCAGTTGCACTCTAGGCTTCTCTTTTAGTAGAATGTGGTGAAAGCATGTGCAGAGTGTGTCCCTTGATAAGCTCACCTATCTTTATTTATAATAGTGACAGAGAAGAAGCTGTGGAACTCCTTTTATATGGGGAGATAATACCAAAGGAACATCATGCACATAAGAATAATATATTATTGCTTGGAGCAGCAAATTAATAACTGGCTTCTGAGTCCTAATAATAGAGAATCAGTTCCTAATTACTGCAGATACCATTGGGACGTAATAAACAAGGAACACGTTCTTTCTCAGTCAGCCATCCATTCCGTTGCTTCTGAAAAATTCAGACATTCTTCATAATATAGGAGAATAAAATGAAAAGGATTAGATCAGTGTCAAAATATTTAAAGAGCTACGTTTTTCTCTTACTGAACTAAATGTATTTGCTAGATCTAATAGGAATAAAGGAACTGAATTAATGAAGTAAATGTTAGATTCAGTAAATCTGGCAAAGGTCCATAGTAGGTGAGACTAGCAATTGGATTTAGGCAACTGTGTTTTAAATTATAACTAGCCCATAGTGTTTGGGAAACTGTGATATAGTCTATGTAGGAGATTAAAGTTTGGCTCAAGCTGGTGAGAAGGGAGGGAAATCACGAGATGTTTGAATTGCAATCTTAATTTGTCAGTTAGAAAGATTTTATATAGTTGAAAGTCCCGCCATTTCAGTTTTTTGTGGAAACTGCCCATGCTTCCACAAAATGGAGAATTAAAAATTCACAGGTATTCCCAATTCATCTTTGGTACAAAATATGGAGAAAATGTAAAACAAAATACAGGGGAAATACATAAAAAACATTGTAAATCTTAGGTGCTCTTCGTCAGTCAAAAGGCAGATCCGGGAATAGGTTCAATCTGTACTGGATAAGGTTAAACTCACTCTGGAGTAACAGGCTTGGAGTTTGGAAGTACTCCTTTAATCATCTCCAAGCTTGGAAGTCCAGATCTTGGCAGTGACCGGGAGTGCAACTACACAGTTAAACCTGGTGTGCCAGCTGGGCCTGTTCCTTGAAAAGGCCGATTTGGCTACAGTGCCACATACCTTAGTTACATCCCATTTGGACTACTGCAACACACTGTGCACGGGACTGTCTTTGAATACAGTTCAGAAACTTCAGCTGGTGCAAAATGTTGCAGTTGAACTGTTCACTGGGACTGGTTACAGAGACATGTTCCTCTCCACAATCCATATTTTACTTCATTTTTACAGGGTCCAGACAACTGTACCAAATGTGCCCATGTAATGGATGGTCCTTATTGTGTTAAATCATGCCCTGCTGGTGTTTTGGGTGAAAATGATACCTTAGTGTGGAAATATCCAGATGAAAATTCAGTATGTCAGTTATGTCATCCAAACTGTGTCCGTGGGTGAGTAGAGATACTTCTAAAACATGTCAAATAGATGGGCTTAAAACATGTTACTTTGTACACTTCCCCTATGTAAACAAAAAGTAATAGAAATGTAAATAGTTCATGTACATCAAAACATATGTTGAAGGTATAAATGCATCTGGCACACTGTGTTTTGCTTTTTTTTCCCCCAAGAAAAGGCTTATTTTATACTGCTTGCATTTCAGCTTCCAATTTTTAAAAATAAGCATGAATAAAATTTATAGATGTTCGTATATATTCTTGTGTGCACAAAAATTTGCATGTATTTTTGCATACCTTTGCTCCAGTTCTTGCCCTTTTTAATGCATTTTTCCCAGTTAATGCATTTCATTTGTTTTTTTCTTATGTATTCACAGTTGTGCTATTTATTTGGAAAATGTGTAGCATAATTTAAAGAAGTGTGAAAAAAAGAGGATAATTGTGCTCTGGTACACATATTGCTTTGGAAAATGTAAATAAGGGCCATTATTGTTAGATTGTGAACCAAACAAATAATTACACCATCATTACATACAAAGTGAATAATGTTAATTATATTTAATCAGTAGCTTTTAGATAAACAAGATTTTAAAGAAAAGAAAAAGTATGTAGAAGATAGAAACTGAACGATAACCAGTAAATTTTCTTCATAAGGCAAAAAGCAGGGATTTTAACTGAGAAAATGATAGGATTTAAGAGATAAATGACTGTCACAGTATGGCTATTCTGTTTGGCGTTGAGACTGGTTTGACTATTTTCAAAGCCTACAGTACATCTTCTTTTCAGTTATTGGCACCATGTCCAGATGGAAGCTTAATTTTATGTAGGTTGGCCCAAAATGCAGCCCCAGTTTTAAGATCCTCATGAGTTTGAACTATACTGCTCCCTGCTGTATAGTTAATGTAATTTATGCAGGGGCTCTCTGTCACAGGATTGCCCAATTAAAATTTTAAACTAAACTCTTTTACAAAGGATATCCTTTGTGTTGAAGGAGAATTCTATACCAAAGCTGAAACTCAGAGACTCACAAGATTCTTTGTGCAAGCAAAGGGCAATACTGTACTAGTCTTAACAGATCCTAGCATACTTTTTCTAAAGTCTAGGACATGAGCTAAAGTGGTCATTTGAGAATATAAGAACATGGGGCAGGGCTTCATCGCAGTGGCATCAGTTTCATTTCAGGAGGGCTCCTGAAACTGACATGTGGGACGTGGTGGCGCTGCAGGACGTAGTGGCGCTGTGGGCTAAACCGCAGAAGCTTGTGCTGCAGGGTCAGAAGACCAGCAGTCGTAAGATCGAATCCACATGACGGAGTGAGCTCCCGTTGCTTTGCCCCAGCTCCTCGCCAACCCAGCAGTTCGAAAGCATGGAAATGCGAGTAGATAAACAGGTACCACCTCGGTGGGAAGGTAAAACGGCATTCCCTAATCATGCTGGCCACATGGCAATGGAAACTGTCTTCAGACAAGCACTGGCTCTACGGCTTGAAAACGGGATGAGCACTGCCTCCTAGAGTCGGACACAACTGGACTAAAAATGTCAAGGGGAACCTTTACCTGAAACTGACTGGGACCACTCGGTTTTTACCCCCCCCCAATTTGAGGATGAAATGACTTTTTCTAGGAAAAGTGAAAGCCTGAAGCAACAGAATCTTACTAAGAAGGGAGGAAGGCCGGGAGATGCCTGGATTTGCCTCTCTTTGAAGTCTTTTTTTAAAGCAAAAATTGAGTGGCACCATCTTAGCATAAAAACACAGAATGATTTTGAACTTGAAGTAAGTGGCTTGCTTTACATATCGAACTCTTAAGGACCTAAACAATGAAGAGAGTGGGTGCAATCTCTCAGAGAAAGTGACTAGATCTATATCTGCCCAGACTGGGGAGACCGGCGAGCATTCCACCCCTTCTGAGGATTGACTGGGAGAAACATAAAGAAGGAGAATAGGGGAGAGGAGGAAAACAACTTTGCTTCTATTGCAGCAATAAAACTCACTTCCACAGGACAATATAACCATAAACTACTGAGGGATTTAAATCTGTGAAGCAGCCAGAAAGAGGCTTGGGGAATGCCCTTCCCCTTTGTCAGCCAAGGTTGACTAAGAAGCCCAGGGAGAGAAAGACTGAATTATAAAAGTTTTCTGCCACAAGACATACATTTGTTTGTTTGTTTGTTTGTTTGTTTGTTTGGCTGCTGCTGTTGTTGTTGTTGTTGTTGTTGTTGTTGTTGTTGTTGTTGTTGTTGTTGTGATATTTACCATGTAGCCCCTGCTTGTTTCACCAAACAAAGAGCTTATGCTATATCTGGTTAACATCCCTAGTCTTTTGGGTACGACACTGAGCCCAAAAATGACCTTTCTCTCCACACGCATAACATTGTTTACTAGCTCTGGATTTGAAATACAGGGCCTTGCCAACCTTTCCTTCAGAGCTATTATGTTTCAGGTGACTCAGCTCTGTAGATAAAGGCTTGCCTTTAAAATGACTTCCAATAGCTTGGGTACTTCTCAGGCAATCTCTACTGGGTGGGGTCCCTCTCCTCCTGTTGTCCCACACTTTCCCACTAATTTTTACCTCAGAGAACCTGGGGTTTCTTATCTCACTTATGGAATCCACATTTTCACTTGCTTCCATTAGATTTTTAGGTTTTTTGTCTCTTACTAAATAACACAATTCCCCGGGTAGAATAGAATAAAATTGCTCCAAACCAATCACATGTTTCATTTGTTCTAAAGAAGTGACATTCTCACACTCCATCCTCTTTTCCTCACTGCCAGAAGTGGATTTCCTTTATCCACCATATAAAAGACTTTAGTCAAACACTTGTCTGGTAACTGCCAACAGAACTTATTTATTGAAGGGTATCAAATTTAATCATAATCACAGATGTTCTTCAGGTATTCATTGTACAAAATCAAATCATTAACATACCATATATCTTGCCACATAACTAAGCACCACCTGCTCTATCTATCTTGACCAGCTTATCTCTATTACTATCTATTCCTTCTTTCTCTTCTCTCACAATCTCTCTGACTATCTCACTATCTGCAAATTCTATCTCATCTTATCCTGCCAAACCTTTTTATATCTGCTGACTCTGCCCCTCCAATCCTCTCATAGGCCCATGCAAATGAGATCCTGACTATGAGTGAAAGGAATGACATTTGGCAATCGTCACTATTTGTTGTTGTTGTTGTTGTTGTTGTTGTTGTTGTTGTTGTTGTTGTTGTTGTTAAGTTACGATCCTGTAGTCACATAACAAAATAGAAAAAAGTAATAATTACCTGGAAATACAGTTATACATCCAATAATTTTCTTACCTATAGTATACTAATAATATTTAAACATTTATACAGTGGTGCCTCGCTTAACGAGCGCATCGTTTAACGCCGAATCCGCATAGCGATGTGTTTATTGTGATCGCAAAAGCGATCACATTGCGATGTTTTAAATGATTAAAAATCACTTTGCGATGATCAGTAAGCTGTTTCGCTTACCAATTATCGCATAGTGATCTTTTCCCAACAGCTGATCGGTGTTCCAAAATTGCCACCAGGTAAAAAAAAAATGGCCACCCGCTGTGTTTTCGCGCCCATTCCTCGCTTACCGGGCAGCGAAAATGGCGGCCATATGGAGGATTTTCGCATAACGGTGAGTTTTTTGCCCATAGGAACGCATTAAACGTGTTTTAATGCATTCCTATGGGCTTTTTTGTTCCGCATAGTGACGAATCCATATAGCGACGTTTTTTGCGGAAAGGATTATCGTCGCTATGCGGGGCACCACTCTATATGTTCTAATTCTATAACCCTACAGTTATTCAAGCTACCAGCATTTCAGCCCATTTTCCAATTGATCTCCTGCACCAGAGGCCAAAAAGGGATTCCATACATAAATTTATCTTGTTTTATTTCACCACTGTAGAGTTTAATGCGATAAGTCAGTTTTTCCATCAGCGGCAATGTCCATATTCTATTTTGAAATCTTTGCAAGGACAAGCCCTGAGCATCCTTCCAGTGTTGGGCAATTTTATTACGGCCTCCTCCTAATATAATCACAATTATATTCACAATGTTTTTGTTCCCTCCTGTAAATAACAAAAAAGTTGCAAAGTTTCATTTGGGATTATTTTTCTTTTGTTATACTTTCCAACCACTTAATCACCTTAGACCAGAAAATTTCCACTCTTGGGCATGTTAACCACATATGTTCCAAAGTTCGTTTATTCCTGCACTTCCTCCAACACGTCTGATATTCCTTTATTCTATTTAATTTTACAGGGTGTACGTGCCATCTGTGCACTGCTTTTAACACTGTTTCTTTAGCTTGAGATGAAACTGATTTGTCAGGTTGAGAGGTCCATATTCTTTTCCACGTGTTTTCTAATATTTCAGTTTTTAAGTTTGTCTCCCAAACTATCTTGGATCCCATATTGTATCCAAATTGTTTATCTATAATACTTTTATAAATGGCTGAAATTAACCCCGTTTTCCTTTTATTCCCTATCTATATACAATATTTTTCTATTTCTGTTAACGGTCTATTTGAGCCCAGTGTTCATCATCATCATAACCTTTATTGGCATAAAACATACAACAAGCAGGGGTCCTCAGATAGATGGAGGGTATATACCCTGCATGAAGCAGATCAAAAAGCTTAGTAAAGCATTACATAGTTTCAAGGTATACAGTAGTTGTCCGATTGTAATAGGTTTTCTTTGTATAAACAAGTCTTTTTAGTTTATACATTCCTCTCTCTTTCCATTGTTTAAATTGTGCATACTTATCTTGAAACTTAAATTTAGGGTGTTCTAATATAGACACATAATGGAGATATAGGGGGAGCGAAGATTATCATATATTTCCTCCATATCCGGAGTAATTCTTTAGTAAAAGGATTCCGTATTTGTTTCTCATTTGTCAAGATTCTTTCTTTATATAAATATAAATCCAATGACTTTCCTTGTTCTTCTCTCTCCGTTCTTGCCCATTCAGGAGTCTCACAGTCTTGTATATGTCTGATTATTTGAGCCATTTGAAAAGCTTTATAATATTTTAGTAAATATGGCATTGCTAGCCCTCTGCTTCTATTTGAGCCATACTTAGCTGTGTTTATGAATCTCCGGGATTTACTTTTCCCTGGAATAAATTTTTCCAATATGCTTTGCCATTGTTTTATCTTTTTCATTTCCAATAGTAGAGGGATATTTTCAAATAGAAATAGAAGTTTTGGTAGGATATGAGTTTTTTCTATTGCAATTCTTCCCAATAATGTTACATTTAATCTTTTCCATTTTTAAATTTTTTCCTTTATAGAAATACTTCTTTATAGTTCCTACAGACTAATTGCCTTATATTTTTTGTTATCCAAATCCCCAAATATTTGAAACTTTAATAACATAGATCTAAACCTGTTCTTTTCTTGATTTCTTTTTGTCTGAGGATAGGAATATTTATGCATAGCAATTTAGATTTATCATAATTAGTTTTTAATCCTGTATAACATTTGAATTCTTCCAATATTTGTTTCTATACTTTCCATCAAGGATTCTAGGAATAATAGCATATTGTCAGCATATAAATAAATTTTGTGCTGTTTATTTCTAATTTTATTTCCCCTAATATTAATATTTTTTCTAATAAGTGCAGTGAGTGGCTCTATGGCCTGTGCAAACATTAATGGAGACAATGGGTCTCCTTGTCTTGTTCCTCTGTATACTGTGTTTCCCTGAAAATAAGAAAGGGTCTTATATTAATTTTTGCTCCAAAAGAAGCATTAGGGCTTTTTTTCAGGGGATGTTTTATTTTTTCACATACAACAATCTACGTTTATTCAAATACAGTCATGTCATCTTCTTCTCGTTGCTGCACAGTGGTGGAAGGTGGGCTTTCACTTAACTAGGGGTTATTTTTGGGGTAGGGCTTATATTACGAGCATCCTGAAAAAATCATACTAGGGGTTATTTTCAGGTTAAGTCTTATTTTCAGCAAAACAGAGTAATTCAAATTTTTCAGATTCAATTCCACTTATTAATATTGAAGCCCTTGCCCCTTCGTGTAGCTTCTTTAGAACGCTGATAAATGTTCCACCCATATTAATTTTTTCTAATAATTTGAACATATACCACCATTCCATGTGATCAAAAGCTTTGAGAACGTCAAATGAGAGTATTGCTATCTTCTGCTTTTTTTTCCTGATGCAATATGTATAATATTTGATTAAATTCAGCATCCTTCAGTCTCGAGAGACTATGGTAACATGCTCTGAATGGAGGACTTGGAACAGCGTCTAGTGTGGCTGAGAAGGACAATACAAGAGTGACAATCCCTTCCACACTGAGGAAGTGACTTGATTCACCAAAGGATTTATTTATTTATTTATTTATTTAGCTTTTGTTTTGTGTTGTTTTGTTTCTTATCTGATATCCATGTTAGTTTGTTGCAGCAAAAACATCAAAGGGATTGTGGCAATTTCAAGATTAACAAGTTTATTTGGCTTATATTTGGATTTGTCAGTAATATGTCACCCATTGAAAAAGGTGTATGTTGCTATTTGTTCTTGAGGTCAATTTATTTATTTATTTATTTAGCTTTTGTTTTGTGTTGTTTTGTTTCTTATCTGATATCCATGTTAGTTTGTTGCAGCAAAAACATCAAAGGGATTGTGGCAATTTCAAGATTAACAAGTTTATTTGGCTTATATTTGGATTTGTCAGTAATATGTCACCCATTGAAAAAGGTGTATGTTGCTATTTGTTCTTGAGGTCATAAAATCCTGTGGAGGGACTGGGATTGTCTAGAGTCCCATGATACTGTGTTGTGAATTGTTTATCTGAACAATTCATTTGTTGAACACACTGTGAGAAGATGTAGCTATAAGACCTATGGAAATAAACTTGGAGCCCCTACATCTATGACACAGACTTTTTCTTTCCAATCCAGATGTTAACAAAATAGTTTTGCATTTCATTTATGTTTTATTAAGTAGCCAGAGCAGGCTTAGCCTGCATCCCTGTACTCACTTAGCTGGAAACAAGTCCTATTGAACTTAATGGAATTTACCTCTGAATGACATGGCTAGGATTACATTGTAAGCGTCTGTTAAGAGTCCATAAATGTAAACAACCTGGTTGCCATAGATTAAATTGGAAATAGGAGGAAAAATCTTGTTAAAATTGAAATGGAAAATTGGCCCTAACCAGCTATGTCTGTACCAAGTGAATTAATATGTGTAGTTAATATGTATAGTTCCAAAATTATGTGTGTACAGACAGTATGTGCAGACGAAAACCTGTGTTACAGTGATGTCAGCACATGGATTGCATAGAATGCATGTCTCATTTTCACAATAAATGTTGGTAAGAGATGCATTTCGAAGTCCGTCTGTCTCTAGATTCAACTTACTTATACTCACATATTTTGATTTCTTAGCTGAACTGAAAAACTTTACACAAATGTCAATGGTGACATAGTCTGTGCTTTATGTTACTTACGTGAAGTTTTGTCATTGAAAACCCATATGAGATTAAAAGGCTAAAGGAAGAGCCCTTTGTAAACAAATTTGTATAAACAGCTCCAGAATCTTGACAAGAACATATATAATTTGCACCTTGGAGGTGTTGAAAACCACTATTTCAGATTTCAAGCAGGATAGTCCATGTTTTATGCTTCTCTGTGACAAGAGCTCTTTGCAGGCACAAAAGGCCATGAAGAATGAGAAATGTTCCTAGTTGTTTTGTGTACAAGTTAAATACCTTTCTTGGAATGGAAGGCTTCTGAATTGGGAGAGAGGAGAGTGGTGTTATATCATGTATAATTCTGCATAGCAGAAGTAGACCTTTGTTAGGATAGTGAATCTGCCTCCAAGATTTTACCAGCAAATAGTGTTAAGTGATGATTACTGAATATTAGCTTTTAAGTCAAAACTCAAGTCACTGAGGTTAATATTTTCCCTTTAAACACAGAAGTGTTGCATTATATAGAGTGAACAGCTGCACTAAATTGCCTGAGGTCTGGTATTGAGAGCTTTCCTTTTCCCTAGTCATCTTCAGTCATTCACATTTCTGTTAAAAATAAATGTTTAAAATGAAATTACCAGCAAACAGTTGTCTCTGTGATAGATGGCTTTGAGTGATCAGGATGAACAATCTTTTGAAATCAGTGAATAAGGCAGTGCTTTTAAGAAGACTGCATTTGTACTTGGTGGGGGAGGCATGAAAGAGTTGAGAGTTCTGTGCTGTATTGAAATAATATTCTGGCAAGCTCAATTCCCAGTAAGTTTCAAAATACTCAAATCTGAAGCTGTTCCTTCAGCAGAACATTCAGCATATTCTGTCCTCTAGGCAAAATCTCCTGGTCCAAGGGTCTTGATGTTTTCCAAACTGTTTTCTTTCCTTCGCAAGCACTGTGTCTCTAAAAACAAACTATTTGTGTTCAGAAAAGAAAAAAGTGGATTGTCCATTGAAGGTTTTTATTAATTCTGTTGTTCTTCCTTTTCTTTCCCCTTTTTTAAATTACAGATGCAAAGGACCAGGACTTGAAGGTTGTCCTAATGGGTAATTATTGCTAATTAATTAAGGGAGCATACCATAAAATATATGGCTTGTGTATGTAGCCAGGAGTCATCATGTGTCTCCTTTTATTTTGGGGAATCATACCAAGATAGACAGAATTTTATATCCATAAGTTAGGAAGCTTATGTTGTCCTTCTCAAATGGTAGACTGGCAAAGCTGCTGTATGTCTAGATGGTACCACTTTGTGCTGCAGCTGGGATCTCACAAAAGGTTGTTCTAAAAGCCTATTAAAATAAGGGTTGTGGAGAGGCTAGAAATGTCCTTGATTCCTAGTTTCCTGTGTGTAGAAATTTGTGTATAGTTAATTAGTTATGTGCTATCAAGTTGGAATCAACGTATAGTGATCCTAATAGGGTTTTCAATGTACGTGATATATTTAAGGAGTGTTTACCAGTTCCAGTTCTCCAGTGAGTTTCTGTGGCAAGTGAGGATAAACTACTACACCACACTGGGTATTTATATGTGTGTACAGGGACATATAATTACATGCACACATGTACATTAAGCCACTAAAGTGGGTCAATGACAGGTATCGGCCATTTCCCCTTGCAGTTGGGCTTCTGCCAGTCATGTTGGAGCACAGGTAGCGAGAGTCAATTTAAAACAACCTTGGGAAGAATTTGCAGGGGAGTGGCTAGTTACCCCTCTTGTAATCTATTGTTCGCTGCAATTCATAATGCAGTTTGCATTACAAGGCAAACATGGGCTGGGGATTCCTTGTTTCTCTTTGGTCAGAACTACATGTTATATTGTACATTCTTGTGCATTAACTGTTATATTTGATTGAATCCGTATCATTTGTGCAAGCCTCTGAGCTCTTAGAGCATATGCTCAAATGGAAGTTCACTGTTAAAAATGTAAGTTAGCCCTATTGCTATTCTTAATCATGAGTAACCCTTCCTTGTGACAGAAAGATTGATGAAGAATGCTGTTCATTCTCTGTGTACCAAAGCACTTCCAAATCCCTCATATTCGAGCTGAGGGCAGTTTTGTTTTTTTTACTTATCTGGAGAAATAGCCTAGTTTTGTTTTGTCTCCCCTACCAAATGTTTAAATTAACAGCTCTGAAAGTCTGCTGTAATAAATAGATTATCCCCTACTGTTTCTGTTTTCTAGCTCTAAGGTTCCATCAATTGCAGCTGGAGTTGTTGGAACTATCCTTGGCTTGGTTGTTGTAGCACTCAGCATTGCTCTCTTTGTACGTCGGCGCCGCATTGTTAGAAAGCGTACTTTGCGCAGACTGCTACAAGAAAGAGAGGTGGGTCCAGCAAATGATTCTGACATTTACTAGCCGAAACTGAATCAGATACTAACTGCCAACATTGCAAGGGCCTTTGCTAATGTTTACCTATTCAGAATGAATATGTAGTTGGATGGAATCTAAGTGTCTTCCCTCAAGGAAGCACACCTGTTTTTGGGGAGAAACCACATTTTTAATCACAGTCATAGAGCATTATATTATATTTCAAGTAACTGACTTTCTCCCATGCTAGTCAGGACCACTGAGGTATAAGAATTGGCTATGATGCAGATGAACACAACTATCCATTCAATGCTAATGTCATGGTGTAACCTATCAGCAGTTAGTGTACACAAGAGATGAAATTATCTAGAATTAAGGCATCATGAAACTTGACTTTCTCCTGACAATGAGGTGCCAAACTTAGCCTTGTGACTAAGCATCAGAGCTGTCCCTTTTTACTTCTATACAAGGACACATTTACAGTCAATTGAAGCAAATGGCAACTTTTTTGTGTTTAAACCACATCAGGCTTTAGGTATGGAGTTGCAAGTTTGGATGCTCCCATATGGAAGAAAAACACTTAGGAAAGTAACATGATAGAAAGATGGTTGGGTAAATCTTCCTTTCTACATATACTAGAAGTATTTGGAAATGGTGAGGATGGCAGCATGCAAATATGTGATCTTCACTTGCTACTTGAAGAGGTACCATCTGAGTCCTCTCTCTCTAGAGCAGGAACAAATATTATGTACATGCAAACACTCATATTTTTGCTATTCTTATAACATATAGTATAGTTTCTTAACATAGCATTCTAAAGATAATTTATTACTGACTACCACTATGGTAAGTTGTAATTTAATTTATTCAAATATGGCTTATTAAGGGACTACATAAGGGACTACTAATTCAGATTCTACATACTGAAGAATCCTGTATAAACGTCCAGAACAGTAAAATAAGGAACCAACTCAGTCAGTCTTCTATGTGGATGCATGTTACATGGAGGATTAGGAAAGCATGCTGTACCATATCATGACAAGAGCAGTTTGCATATCTGCTCTCCCACTAGTTATAAATACTAAATACTATAAGATTAGAGTGTCACTAGGCATACTTCTCAAAAAAAAAATGTAATATTGGCTATCATGCTGAAACATCTCCTCCTAAGCTATATTCTTTTGGAATTCAACAGCTTGTAGAACCTCTGACTCCCAGTGGTGAGGCACCAAACCAAGCACTTCTAAGGATTCTGAAAGAAACTGAATTTAAAAAAGTCAAAGTTCTTGGCTCTGGAGCATTCGGTACCGTCTATAAGGTGATGTATACACCTTTTCCTTTAACAGACACAACTGTATATACCCATGCTTCGATGTTAGTAAGTGGATCTTAGTTCCAACTAAGCATGCACAAAATCAGGCCACAGCACAACTGAATTCTTCATGTGGTCATTTTACATCTGTGTTTATATTGATAGTGCATTATTCAAATTCCATGCATTATTTCCAGAAAATGGTGTGATACATTCATCTTGTTCATCTATTTGTTTACTGATCCTGCAGTCTGATCCCTATTGCAAAATCCAAAAGTATATACAAACTTTGTTCACTAATGCTATGTTGAATTTAAATTAAATGTATCTTGTGTTCTGTACTTTTGTTTTTAAACAGGGACTCTGGATTCCAGAAGGAGAAAAAGTTAAAATTCCTGTGGCTATTAAGGAATTGAGAGAAGCCACATCCCCCAAAGCCAACAAAGAAATTCTTGATGTAAGCTTTCTTTCTTTTTCTCTTTCTTCTTTGAAGTACTCACTGTGGTGCTTTACACAGCATGCACACAAATGTGAAGGCATTATTGGTGAATGGGAAATATTCACATAATTCTTCTGAAATGTCTTCATTGGGTTTTCTGTTTGTCTGCAGTTCCTGTTCCCAAAAAACCTATACTTCCTAGAGCTATTGTCAACCGCAGTTAGTTTGTAAGGGGAAAAGTTATTTATATGTTTTCAGCAAAACCTTTCATCTAGTTTTTAAATAGCCAATTTTCCCTTGAAACATCTGAAAATCTTAGCTCACAAAAATAAAATCTTAACATGAATTAAGACAGGATTTTTAAAAAATGTTTTCCAAATAGGCAGGAAGTTTCCCACTAAATCATGCCTCATTTTCATATTAGAACAAGTCATAGCATTTACTATATCTTTCAAGGACATTCATGAAAAGGTATTGACTTTTTAAAAATATATACTTCCTTTTTTTAAAAAAAAAAACCAACCCTTTTTACTCTGTAGGAATTATTGGTACTGATTACCAGGCAGTTATCCTCATGATTCTTCTAACTTCATTAGAAACTTTAAAAAGTTTCAACGGAAATTCGGAGATGATTACAGCCAAAGTGTACAGCAATGAAGTGGAAGGAAACAACAGCAGACAAATCCCAGTGCTGATACGAGGCAGATATGCAACAGCTAAGAAAAGAAAGGGAATATATAAGAGACCCACATATAAGTATGGAAATACAAATTATTCTGCTAACTACAGAGAAAATCTGCAACTTGCTGATTTTAATCAGGCTAGGCACAAAGATCATTTTTGGTGGGATTATAGCAGCTATGAGGGTAGACCCACCTGGAACTTTATGTACTGACCAAATAGCAGTTGCAACGAGCCAGAGCGCTTAAACACCAGCACCATGAAACCTAGCTGGAACCCCCAGATTACCCAGCTGCATGGAAATGTTGCTGAATACCCAGATGTTAAGATTGAGGCCCAAAAGACAGCTCCAATTCCAAGGACCTGCTTATTGAAAATTATTTCATGGAATATAGCCGGTTGGGCCTCCAGACAGAATGACCCAGGAATACTCGATTATTTAAGACTACATGATATAATTGCAGTACAGGAAACCTGGAGCATTGATAATATTAGTTTGAATGTCTATCTGGTGCTTAATAGCTATGCAGCTCCTAGCAGTGGAAAGGGTCGCCCAAAAGCAGGGATGGCTCTAATGTTCTCTACTGCTTTGGAAGCTAGGGTTAAATGGCTGCCACCCTGTCACAAAATTGCTATGGCTGCCTTACTTGTTATCAGGTCAAGCACTTATTTGATTATCAATGCCTATATTCCTCCATTGTCTTCCAAAAATCAAATAACTCAGATGTGGAACCAATTGGAACTTTATATTATAAATTTAGAATCCATAGCCCCCAACGCACATGTGATACTTATGGGAGACCTGAATGCAAGAACTGGATCAAATAATGACATCCTTTACTCTTCCATTGTTTGGGGCACAGACTCTATAGAGAACCGCATCCTGATGAATTATAGAACATCAAAAGATCTAAAGATCATTATAGTGGGGTATGCATGGCACGGATGGTAAAACGTCTTACTCTTTATATTGTAAATGGCAATGTACTGTTTGATAATTGTGCAGAATTTACCTTTGTATCAGGGAGGGGTAGTAGTGTGGTGGACTACATGTTAATCTCTCCATCTTTAACCAGATTGGTTGAGGAATTCTCTGTCGGACATAGAACAGATAGCGATCATTTACCCCTACTTTTAACCTTGTCACTTTCTAACCCAATACGTCTTCCCCCTTAACACCATTTAGGTGACAATGTCTTATCTGTACGATACAAACGTCTAGTCTGGATAGATGAAGTTAATGTAAAAGTCTCCAGTTTCTTAAAATCTCCTCCCAGTGAGAAATTAAGAAACTTAATAATAGCACCTACCAAATCTACTTTGGCTTCCATTGTGACAAACTATAACTCCCTAGTTTTAATAATACAATCTGTTCTAAGCCCAAAACAATCTTACACCCATTAACAACCGTGAAGGTACATTCATAAATGGTTTGATAAGGAATGCTCCCTAAAAAAAAAAACCAACTTAGGGAAATATACATGCAGTATAGGAAGAAGAATCTGGCAGCTTTGCCCCAGGAGTACTACATAGTTAAAAACCAATACAAAACCCTGATTGCCCAG